CAGTTTTACCCTCTGGCCTTTTTTCAGATGTCTATTGGTCCGGGTAACTTTTAAGAAATTTCGGACTGAACCCTTTTACTCACCTACTGGATTAGGTTTAGTATTGTTCAGTTAGTGCTGCCCTACTTCCACTGAGACTGAGTATTTAGATTCAGACACAATTTCGTATTATTATTATTATTATTATTATTATTTTATTTTCTTTTGGTTTTTCTCGTGTGTACTCATTTCTTTCTGGCATCATGACACTTTTCACTGAGCAATTTTGAAAGAAAAAAATCGCACATGTTTTACACAGATAAAGCCCTTCGTAAGGTGTGGACTGTACTTGTGAGTACAATTTTTTATTTCTTAAAGGCATAGGCTACCAGGGATTCCTTCAGTGAGAGTATTGGACTCTTTTCCAAAAAGATCCGAGGGCTCCAACTACATCTGGCATTGTTAATGTCCTCATGCGCCACATTTTTGAGATTTCGATTTCAAGGTCCTTGTATTTTAATAGTTTTTTGAAGATCTTCAAAGATACATTGCAGTCTGTAGGGACTGCCATGTCATGAAAGAGGAAAACTTCAATTTTTAGGCTATTCTTCGAAACCCATGGTGTAGTCACAACCTTTGGCGTATAGTGAATCTTCTAATGAAGGTATTATTATTATTATTATTATTATTATTATTATTATCATTATTATTATTTTCTTTGATATCTGTTGTATACTCATTTCCTTTCGGGTCCCAACCAGAAACCTAAGGTCAGAAATGGCTTCATGAGATTTTCCACTGAACATTTTTGTAATAAAATAAAGTCACGTAAGATTTACATAGATAAAGCTCTATGGTAAAGGTGTGGGCTGTACTTGTGCGAATATTTTTTATGTTTGTTTAAGTTATAAGCGGCTTGTAATCCCATCAATGAGTCTATTGGAAGATTTTCCAATCAATCAGAGGGCTCCAACTACAACTGGAATTGTTTATATCCTTATGTGTCACGATTTTGAGATTTCAATTTCAAGGTCCTTGTATTTTGATAATTTTTTGAAGATCTTCAAAGATACATTGCAGTCTGCAAGGACTGCCATGTCAATAAAGAGGCACATTTTTGTTTTTGCGGTCTCTAATCACGATGTCAGAGCGATTAGCTTTAATTGTTCTGTCTGTGTGGATTGTAAAGTCCCATAAAATTGTTACAGGTCCTATCTCTATAACCTGGTCTGGGTGGGGATCATGCCAATTTCTTGCAGTTTCCTTTCCGTGAACGTTGCAGATTTTCCAGTTCAAATATTAACCCACTCTCTCGTGGTGTGTTTTATATTCAGTGGGTGCTAATACTGCGCAACCTGATACAAGATGATCAATTGTCTATGGATTAAATATCCAGAAACACAAATATCGCAGAATCTGCATTTTGGACTAACACAATTTTTCAGTATGTTTGCTTCGTAATTTCTAGTTAGCAAGCATTATTCCCGTGTAGCAAGAATAAAACCTTCAGTTTCAGCTTTTTAGTTTGCACTACGTAGCCACAGATGAGTATGGGGTTTGTCTACCTACATCAGCTTGTTTGGTACGGGCAGAGTATTGACCTTGAAGCGGTTTGTCTTGCCATTGTTTCTGTATCTGGTCGGTTGCATTTGCTTTCTTTTTTAAGTACTTTGCAGTTTCAGTCGTTGTATTGTTTGTATTTCTACATCCATTTGAAACTCTATTTTGAACATTTTTGCTTCCTTTATTATTATTATTATTATTATTATTATTATTATTATTATTTCACATTGATTCTTTCGGTTTTGATACATAATTTTGTTTGTGTTATCCCAACCTTCTTGCTATTGTACCTTCAAGTCTCTTTCTTTCAGTACAATTTTTAATAAAAATACCCTAAAATTAAGTTACAGTTGTACTGAAAACTTAGAAATGACTATCAAGAAACATAATGCTAATATCTTGAGTAAACACTTAGACCAAAATAAATAAAAAATAGACAGTATAATAAAAGAAATGAAGATAAACAAAAATTATGTCACTGCAGAAATCCTCAAAACTGTCCTCTTAATTATAAATGACGCATTGAATCATTAGTGTACTAATGCAATATCTCATCTATTGAGGATCCAGACAACGTAAAAGTCTACATTGGATGCACAAGACATGAATTCAAAAGACGTTAGAATCGACATAAACGTTCTTTTAAAATAAGTAAATACCGAAATCAGACGTCTCTATCTAAATATTTCTGCCACTAAAATAAAACTCCTACTGTAAAATGGAAATTAATATGGAAAGCTAGAATTTGTAGTTCATTAAATGACCCATGTCCTTTGTGCATACATGAGAAATTATACATTATTAAGTTTCTGAAAAATAAAAATTTACTTAATTAAAGAAATGAAATAGCTATTTTTGCAGACACTGTCAAAGATTTTTCTTAAATAATGATTAAATGGAAGAAAAGAGAAGAAAGATGAAAAACATACATATTTATAGAAGCATACATATTTATGTATATACTTGATCTTATAATTTAAAAAAAAAGTAATTCTAATATATTTATTTTTTTTAAAAGAAGTATAGTCTATTAGCAATTAGAATTAGGAATAATAATTTAAAATTGTATTTTAATACGTCGTACTCATATCCAAACGACCCTTTTGAAAAAATCTTTGTGTATACAATTACAAATTTAACGGCAAAATAAAAGTACCGAAAACCTTTTTGTCATTGAAAAAAACCCCAAAAAACAGACGAGTTGCGAAAGACGGATGTCATCATTTGTTGAACAGGCATCCCTCCCCTTAATTAATCTCATTTGGAAAGTAACTCATATTTTGATACATAGGTTGTCAGTAAAAATGAATAGCCTACCACCTCTTATCAAAATGATTGAATTTCCCCGTATCCTTAGCAAATAATATTAAGAATGTATGTACTTATAAACTCAGTAAATTTCAAAATAAGTTATTCCAAAAATCGCTTGAAAATGAAACAGTACTAAGGATTTTAATTTAATTCTATAATTAAATTTGAAGTGATTTAGACCGCTCGGTCACAGAGAGTGCCACAACCGAGCAAGCTTCTATTTTACCCTTTTAAGGAATTCGCATTACATCGTTCAGATATTTCGCGAAAGTTCGTATCGGCACAAGAGAGCGTGGCCATTCCTTAAAAGGATAAAGGTTAGAACCTTTTAGGTTTCACCTGTTTTAATGCTACACCTGAGTGTGCCCCTCACTAGGTGTCTTTTTATGACGGCCTTGTACCAAAATAATCGAATTTAGTACAAATAAACCTCACATCTACGGACCCACCTCATCCACGGACTTCGGATTCAACGGACAAAATCTGGTAGCAAAATAAAAAAAAAAGTTTGTAGGAAAAAACTTCCAAATCGTTAGTAATGTATTTCAAAATTTGCAGGCCTAGCGGAACGAGTCGTATTAGTTCTCAAAGTGACCGCTTGGCGGCGTTTACTGGTCTTTCTATTGTAAACAAAGACAGGTGTACAGTATATAAAGTACGATACATTAGCGCGTGCGCGAGAAATAGCTGTGAGAAATCTATTTTTTGGTTAATATATCTATTAAGTATATATTTATTTATGCCATATATACATGTTTATAGTATTTATATTATGATCATAACTACTGGTACTTACTATAGCCGTTTTATAACTCAAAAATAATCTCTTAATCGGCATTAACGGACCACCCATCCCCCTATTAGTCCGTTGATGAGAGGTTTGTCTGTAAATAGCTAATATTGGCTTTCGCACAAGGACCCTTACGATCATTCCCGAGAACGCAGGACAACCCACAAATAACAAAGAAAAGGGTTTTGTGGAGAGTCATGATAACTTACATATTGAAAACAGAAGGAAAACAATGAATTCTATATTGTATATAAAGCAGCGGAAACGATTCCACTATCTTTCCCAAGAATGCATGGTAATCCACAATAAAGAAAAGGAAGCTGTGACGAGTCATGATCACACATGTCCTGAAGTGACATCGTATTAAAATAATCTCATCATAATTCGTTAAGCAAGTGTTTCTCGCTAGCCATAGGTAGTAAGTTTGTTTTTGTTTTGTTGGTTATTCAAAAACGTTTTCCATCCAAGGTTCGATTTGCTCAATAAATATCGAAATCATGTGTTTTTATATTGATTTACCTTAACTAAGACGAGTCTGGACTGAGGCTAAATTCTTAGGGCACTCATTGAGAATCGAACTCATTGAGAATCGAACTCATTGAGAATCGAACTGTCACGCTTTTGCCCATCGAAAAGTATTAAAAACTAATGTGTATATATAAATGCTTGCGTTGGTTTCTTTGAGAGAAGGTTTGTGTATGAGCGTGTTTGCTTACAGCCAACCAATTGAACAACACGGCCGTTTTTCTCTCCTTTCCATTTCTATTCATTTTATTCTTCTCTCACACCCTCATTTTCATTTGCTAACTAAAAAAAAAAAAATTGGTCGGCCATCTTAGGTGTTTATGGATGAGTTGGGACGATAGCAATCAGATAGGAAAATTGATTTTCTGACGCGTTTTTATCGGCCGACACGAAACTGCATTGCTGTCAGCCGACAATAAACCGTGTGTAATTACAAAAACAGAGAAATCAAAACTAACCAGGAGAAATAAAGCTAGAAACAAAAATAGAAAAAAAATGAGATAGTCATATAAATAGATAGACAGATCGATAGCAGAGAGCTGTAATGCAAGAGACGTAAAGTGAAAGAAAGATATAGAGAGAGAGGAGAAGAGAGAGAGAGAGTTAAAAATGAGTGTGTAGTAAGTAAAGAAGTATAGCGAGGGAAGAGCAGAGATATAGAAAAAGAGAGAGAGAAAGCGACAAAGAGAGAGAAGCAAAGAAGGAGTGAACGGAAAAAAGAGGGTAAAAATTAATGGCATAGAGTGAGTGAAAGGAAAAGAGAGAAAAGGACAGAGATTGAGTGAGTGAGGGATAGGCAAAGAGATAGACAAAGGAATAGACAGAGAAAGGGCTAGACGAATAGAGAGAGAAATAAATGAGAAAAGACAGAAAGGAAGGAAGAAGAAGAATTAATGCGATGCGAAGGGAACCACAAAGAGAGAAAAAGAGAGCGTGGCAAAAGTATAGCTGGAGATTAGGGGGAATCTCGCTCTGCCTGTCTGTCTTTCTCTTTCTTTCTCTCTCTCTCTCTCTCTATCTATCTATCTATCTATCTATATATATATATATACATACATATACACACATATATACATATATATATATCGAGAGAGAGAAAGAGAGAGAGAGAGAGAAAGAATTGAGAAAGAGAAAGAAAGATGTCCGAAGGTCGCTTCAGGCGGGAAATTAGCTGTCACCACGCAGCGTTGAATCCTATTATCTAAAGTTTATAGTTTAAAGAAAATTTACTGTAGATGGCGCTGTGTTGCTATGTAGACTAGGTTACATTTGTCATTCGTGTACATTTGTGACGAGTCTGTCTTCATTTAACCTGTGTAGTAGTGACTTAACTGAGAAGTGTTTCGTTTAACAATGTCAGGATATTCATATCGTGAGCAGGCAGATATGATTTTTACATTCGACCGCGCGAATGGTAATGGACACGAGGCTGCACGGCTGTATCAGATTGCATTTCCAGACTGAAGTGTGCCGAGTCATCCAATTTTTGTTGCTGTTTATCGTCATGTTGCTGAAACAGGATCTGTGGCGCCAAAAACTATGGTCAGAGGAAGGCCTGACCACGAAGAATACGTTCTGTCGGAGACGATCCAGCTATCAGCAGGCGTACATCTCATAGTACCACATGGAGGGTACTTCAAGAGCCCCTCCAGTATCCATATCATTTGTAACGTGTGCAGGATCTTTCGATCTCTAATCACTCACCACAGAAGAAGTTTTACCGATTGTTTATTGAGCAAAATGCCGATCTGCTGTTTGTCTCTTCAGTGTTGTTTACAGATGAGGCAATATTTGAAAGAGATGAAATAACAAATTTATACAACCAACATTTATGGACAGATCGGAAACCTCATGGCACAATACAGGCTAGACACCAGCATCAGGTTACGTGTATCCTTATCTGCATCATTAAGGTGTGGGTTGGAATTGTAGGAGACTCTCTGGTAGGTCTATATGTTCTCCCAGTACGTCTTACAGGAGCTGTCTACAAGGAATTTATTTCGAACACACATCCAGACCTGCTAGAGGATGTACCTCTGCTAATATGAAGACGCATATGGTTCATGCATGATGAGGCTCCAGTACATTTCAGGCACACTGATCATGGCGGACTGGCTGACATCTACCATGAAAGATGGAGAGGTAGGGGAGGACCGGTTGTATGGCTTTGCATATTCGCTCAACCTTTGAATTTTTATCTATGGAGCCACCTAAAACAATTGGTTTATGCAGCAGACATTAATAATGCAGAGACGCTTCATCAACGTGTCATGGGAGAGAAAGGAAAACAACACAAAAATAATATTTGGAAAAAAGAGGAAAAGGTGTATAGACAAAAATAGATCAATAATTCTATAACCAGATCCGGAGTTACCGGTTGAATTTCTATTTAGAATGTTCCTTGTATGATGTTCAATCTGTGGGATTAATATTCATTACTGAATCAAGTGCCTTGACAAGGAAGGAGATTATGTTATGAAATTTGTTGTGTAAAATATTTTTTTTAACATTACGCTAGGAACTTATTGATACAAATACAAAAGAGCGAAAAAAGGTTAAAAGTGGAAGGAAGGAAAAAGGAAGGAAAATGAATGAGAGAGAAAGAGAGGTAAAAAGTGAGAGGAAGGAAACAGAGGAAAAAAGAATGAGAGAGAAAGAGAAGAAGAAAGAGAGGTAAAAAGTGGAAGGAAGGAAAAAGAGAGGGTAAAAAGAAAGAGAGAGAAAGAAGAGAAAAAAGAGAGGTAAAAAGTGGAAGGAAGGAAAAAGAGAGGGTAAAAAGAAAGAGAGAGAAAGAAGAGAAAAAAGAGAGGTAAAAAGTGGGAGGAAAGAAAAAGAGAGGGTAAAAAGAAAGAAGAGAAGAAAGAGAGGTAAAAAGTGGAAGGAAAGAAAAAGGGAGGGTAAAAAGAAAGAAGTGGACCGAGAGAGAAAGAGAGAAGTAAAAGTAATTTAGAAGAAAAGTCGGTCGAACGAAAACACGAATTTTAAAGAAAGACTGAAACGAAATAATATTTTCAAGGAAAATTGCATGGCATAAATCTTTTTATGCTATTATAATTAAATCGTTGGGCATAACTAATATAACGATCCGTGGGGGACAGCGTTTAAGTGCCGCGATGTCGCAAAACACAATGATTCTCAAAACTAAGTAATCGCTTCTCGTCGTTCAATACTTTAAGACAACTCATAAATTCAACCTTATATGCGCGTGTAACCAATTTATTTTACTTAAAGGAATGGGGAAATTTACATCTGTATAATGGAATATAATGGCAGAAATTCTATATGTTTATTCAGGAAACACTCTTAAAAGGTCCCCATCAACAAACATTTAAAGACGTTTAAATATATGGACATATTAAAATACACATACTCAATTAGTAAGCAGGATAGTAGCACCTGTTAGGGTCCCAGTTATGGGCAAATAGTGGACTGACAAACAAAAAACAAAAATTATGAAACCATAAAAATACATTTTTTTAGTAAAAATAACAGTAACGCATATAGCAGAATTACCAACAATACCTACTTATCTGTAGTTGAAGCCATAAAATTGTGAATCTATGGCGAAAAAGGCGATTATCATGCTTTTGACGGGGTCGCATTTACTAACGTCCTAAGCGGCCCTGAAAGCCATGTGACAGCTCGTTGATGAGAAGAGTTCAATTTCTGCTTAGAGGTAGATAGACGTGATACCCAAGCACAGAGAATCTCACGTGTCCTAAATAAGTACATGAACATATCACAAAGGCACGTTGGTCTCCTAGGGATATTACAAGTAAAAGTATTTCGTCCATTTATATACTGATTGCATTCTTCATATGTGTTTTCAATTTCTCTGTGTGAATTAAATTATGACGAATATATATATATATATATATATATATATGTATGTATGTATGTATGTATTTATATATTTATATATATATTCAGTTGTTTGGATAATTATTAGTAACTATGCGTTTCACGCTTCTGTGATCATCAGACAAACTGGTTTATTTTTTTTAAAAGTGGATCTATTTATGCTTATTTGTGTTTGATTATTTGTATGTGGTGGAGGTGGGGAATTTTTTATGTGTTTGTTTGGGATGCACTCCTACATACATAAACAAACATGCATACACCTGTATATATACACTGTATGTATGTGTGTCTATGTATGTGAGAGTGTCATCCCAAACAAACACAGAAGAAAATTCCCCCCTCCTCCACAAAAAATAATCAAATAAGATTAAACAGCTTCCACTTTTGAAAAACAACAACAAAAAAAAAACAGTTTGTCTGATGATCACAAAAGTCTGAAACCTGGGATTATAAACTAATATCCATCAACTGAATATCTTATCACAGATAATGATCAATTTTCACTAAGTACCGCGAATATAATATAATATAATATATATATATATATATATATATATATATATATATATATATATATATATATATATATATATATATATATATATATATATATATATATATAATAGCGTATGCTTACGTCTGGCCCAGACTGTATATATGAAACAGCATGTCACCTCTAATGTTCACTTTTATATTTATATTTACATACGCTCTATCTCTGATATTGACCGCTTTATCCCATAAATATAGCACACCTTAAAACTATATTTCTTCATATATATATATATATATATATATATATATATATATATATATATATATATAGGTATACACTCTACAGGTTTTTTGTTTTTACATTTTACTACGTTTACATTTGTGGCACTGTTCAGTCTCATCTCATTTTAATCTTTCATAGATATCCTGGAACGTCAAGATTTCGGTGCATTAATTACTGAACTGGTCTTTTTTTTTTTAAATCTCTTATACAATTGTCAGCCATGTTGGTGGAACAGTGTCAAATGCTTTTATCGACGCTTTCCTCACCTGCTCGGCATTTTCAATCTTCTAATATTGCTTTAGAATACACATTCTTTGTTCTCGACACAAATTATTTGCTATTATTCATAATACCTGTTAAAAATAAAAAGTCATGTCAATATTATAATAATAATTAAACAACTGTAGGCTAACTTTTGGCCACTCCCTGTATATATATTATATAGTATAGCATTTTTGATATGACGTAATGTATATACCAGTGTTGTATAGAAATGTTTTCAGGCATTACTGATTTTTGGAATTAATTTATTTCAGCCTATTCTCCTTCTTTCCTTCCTTGAGAACCTGGGTTTCACGCTTTTACCGTCATCAGACAAACTCTGTCTGATGATCGCAAAAGCGTGAAACTCAATATCAATGAAATCATATCCATACAACTATATAATATATATATATATATATATATATATATATATATATATATATATATATATATATATATATGTAGAAATTTCATATAGAGTATATCTGTAAAAGAACAATATCGATAAAGGCAAAAGGAAAACTTATCTTAGCTGACGCTTTTCGTCCTCTGAGGAACATTATCAAAGGCAAATCCGAGGATTTCATTTTGGAACAATTATTTATAAACAAGATCAAACTGTTATTAGAGAAACTATGGAGGACACGACATGACACAATTAAATGTCTAATTAATATTGTAACGAAAATAAGTGATGTTTTTAATTTTTTTTGTTTATGCTAATTAGCATTTAAATTATTTTAGTTTGAGATTAATTTATGCGTTTTATATTTTGAATAACATGAGGTTAAGGATTTAACCGTTTTCTTTCAATTTTCTATCATTTTCCTAGTCATGTATGTTGGCTTGGGAAAGGAGTAATTCTTTCAGGAATAGAGATATTTGAAAAAATCCAGGGCGCAGATTTATATTTTGGTCAGATTCGATAGCAGCACTGACGAGAATTTTCCTTCTAAATACCTTACTTTCTTATTCAACAAGTGTGGAATGTTTTAGATCACACACACACACACACACATATATATATATATATATATATATATATATATATATATATATATATATATATATATATATATATAGACTTTATTTTAGAATATTACATCGAAAACGTCAAAAATCGCTACACAATTGCAGTCGTGTTGTTTCGATGCGTATCAATGCATCTCATCAGGCGATTGTAAATTACTGGCGAGTGAACGATTTATTTAGATTTAAAAGCAAATACATTTGCAAATCTACGGGTCATGACCCATTAATGAAAAATAATGTCTTAATTTTTGCTCCTTCCCTCATTTCAAATTTCGATTCAGATTCAATTCAGATTCGATTGGTTGATCTGAGTAAAGCCCACAAACCTTATAATCCCCCTTTTTTCTTTTTCTCGTAAAAAGAGGCTGTATTTTGCTTTTAAATCTAAATAAATCATTCACTCACCAGTAATTTACAATCACCTGATAAGATGCGTTCATACGCATCGAAACACGACTGCAGTTGTGTAGCGATTTTGACATGTTTTTCGATGTCATATCCTAAAATAAAGAATATTGCTCTACTTTATATTGAGCCCTCTTTTGAATTAAATGTTACGAACGTTAGAATTGGACCTATTCGTTTCTCATCGATACCTATATATATATATATATATATATATATATATATATATATATATATATATAGAGAGAGAGAGAACAGGAGAGAGGCCGAGAGATATATAGCCTATAAACATACATGTAAACATATTCATATCAAAATTGCTACAGTAATTTACAATCGCCTGATGAAATGCATCGATACACATCAAAACATGATTGCAATATATATATATTTGTGTGTGTGTGTGTGTGTGTGTGTGTGCGTGCACGCGCTTGTAAAAATTGAGATGAATTTTTTGTATATTTTTTAATTAGTCTACATGTAGGAAGAGGCTAATGTTTTTGATGAAATCACAGAATTTCCGGTTGCTCCTGAAAATTTAAAAATTACTGAATTTTATTTACTTTCACATTTTATGTATAAACAAGAGTCAGATTAGCGAAACGCTATTTGTACATTGGAAAAATAAAACAAGATTAAAAACTTTAATAGACATAAAATATCTATTATTTCAGTTTAAAAGGAAAGTTGCTGCTCAAATATACCGAATTTAAATTAGATTATTGTACAGCTCTTAATGATATTTGGTCCGACAACATTTGGATGCAGTCTTGCCGGAAATTTCCATTAAACAAAATTCCGCCAAAATTCCAATTCTGCTTATTAAAAAATGCTTATTGAAATTGCTATTTTAAAGATATTTGTTTCACTAAATAAAAAGTAGATCAAAAAGTCTGTAACCAGATCCGGAGTTACCAATTGAATTTCGATTTAGAATGTTTATTGTATAATGTTCAATCTATTACTGAATCAACTGCCTTGACAAGGAAGGAGATTATGTTATAAAATTTGTTGTGTAAAATATATTTTTATCATTAGGCTAGGGACTTATTGATACAAATACATAAGAGCGAAAAAAAGAGAGTTTAAATGTGGAAGGAAAAAGAGAGGGAAAAACGAGGAGAGAGAAAGTGAGGTTAACAGTGGAAGGAAGGAAAAAGAGAGTGGGGCGAAAGAAGGAGAGGTAGAATGAAAGAGAAGAGGTAGAGAAGAAAGAGTGGTAAAAAGTGAAAGGAAGGAAAAAGAGAGAGAAAAAGAATGAGAGAGAAAGAGAGGAAGAAACAGAGGTAAAAAGTGGAAGGAAAGAAAAAGAGAGAGAAAAAGACAAAGAGATATAGAATAAAAGAGAAAGAGGAAAAGAAAGAGTGGCAAAAATGGAAGAAAGGAAAAAGAAAGGAAAAAAAGAATGAGAGAGAATGAGAGGAAAAAGAGAGGTTAAAAGTGGAAGGAAGTAAAAAGAGTTGGGAAAAGGATGGGAGATAGAATGAAAAAAAGAGGAAAACAAAGAGCGGTAAAAAGTGGAAGGAAAGAAAAAGAAAGGAAAAAGAATGTGAGAGGAAGAAAGGAAGGTAAAAAATAAAAGGAAGGAAAAAGTGAGAAAAAAGAATGGGGGAGAAAGAAGGGAAGAAAGAGAGGTAAAAGGTGAAAGGAAGGAAAAAGGAAGGAAAAAGAATGAGAGAGGAAGAAAGAGAGGTAAAAGGTGAAAGGAAGGAAAAAGGTGAAAAAAAAAGAGAGAATGAAAGAAAGAAGAAGAAAAGAAAAAGTGGTAAAAAGTAAAGGAAGGAAAAAGGAAGAGAATGAGAGAGGAAAAATGTGAAAGGAAGGAAAAAGAGAGGAGAAAGGAGAGATAGAATAAAAGTGGGTAAGGAAAGAAAAAGGAAGGAAAAGAATGAGAGAAAGAAGAAAGAGGCAAAAATGAAAAGGAAGGAATGAAAAAAGGATAAATAGAATGAAAGAAAGAAGAAAAGAAAGAGTGGCAAAAAGTGTAAGGGAAAAAGGAAAGAAAAGAAAAAGGAAAGAGAAAAAAAAGGAAGGAAAAAAATGAAAGGAGAGATAGAATGAAAGGAAAAGAGGTAAAAAAGTGTAAGGAAAAAGAAAAGGAAGGAAAAAGAATGAGAGAGGAAAAAGAGTTGAAAGGAAAAGAGAGTGAAAAAGGAGGATAAATAGAATGAAAAGAAAGGAAAAGAAAGTTGGTAAAAAGTGTAAGGAAAGAAAAAAAAGGAAAAAGAATGGAAGGAAGAAAAGAGGTAAAAAAAGGAAGGAAAAAAGGAAAAAGGATAAATAGAATGAAAGAAAAGAAGAAAAGAAAGAGTGGTAAAAAAGTGTAAGGAAAAGAAAAAAGGAAGGAAAAAGAATGAGAGGAAAAAAAGGTAAAAGGAGAGAGAAAAGGAGAGATAGGAAAAGAAAGAAGAAAAAGTGGTAAAAAGTAAGGAAAGAAAAGGAAGGAAAAGAATGAGAAGGGAAGAAAGAGAGGTAAAAGGTGAAAGGAAGGAAAAAGAGAGTGAAAAAGGAGGATAAATAGAATGAAAGAGAAAGAAGAAAAAGAAAAAAGGGTAAAAGTGTAAGAAAAAAAAAAAAAGGAAGGAAAAAAAGAGATGAAGAAGTAAAAGAAAGGAAGGAAAAAGAGAGTGAGAAAGGAGGAGAGATAGAATGAAAGAGAAAGAAGAAAAGAAAGAGTGGTAAAAAGTGTAAGGAAAGAAAAAGGAAGGAAAAAGAATGAGAGAGGAAGAAAGAGAGGTAAAAGGTGAAAGGAAGGAAAAAGAGAGTGAGAAAGGAGGAGAGATAGAATGAAAGAGAAAGAAGAAAAGAAAGAGTGGTAAAAAAAGAAAGAAAAAAAGGAAAAAGAATGAGAGGAAGAAAAGAAGAAAGGAAGGAAAAAGAGAGTGAGAAAGGAGGAGAGAGATAGAATGAAAAAGAAAGAAAAAAAAAAAAGTGGTAAAAAAGTGTAAGGAAAAAAAAGGAAGGAAAAAGAATGAGAGATAAAAAAGGTGAAAAGGAAGGAAAAAGAAAGTGAGAAAGGAGGAGAGATAGAATGAAAAGAGAAAGAAGAAAAAAAGAGTTGTAAAAAGTGTAAGGAAAAGAAAAAGAAGGAAAAAGAATGAGAGAGGAAGAAAAATGTAAAAAAGGTGAATGGATGAAAAAAGGAGGAGAGATAGAATGAAAGAGAAAGAAAAAACGTTTGGTAAAAGTGTAAGGAAAGAAAAAGGAAGGAAAAAGAATCTATTCAACAAAACCAGGCCGTTCCTTCCTGAAGATCTACAAACGTTTCTTTATTCAACAAAAAACAGGTCATTTCTAACCTTCTAACCCTTCACGATTAAGACCCAAAATGTCACACACATTGTAGCGAACAACCTTCGTATTCTATTGGTGAGAATTAAATTCCACTTTATCGGCTTCTTCCCGCGAACTGCTTCTCTTTGGAACCGACTCCTAAGTGCTGGTTTTCCAGATCAGTACAATCATAGTCTGTTCAAGTCTAGTATTAACAATTATATTCTCACATATCCGTGTAAAGTGTGTCTCTTTTTCTGTAATCCACAACCTCACCATGTACAAGGCCCATTCCTGCTACTCAACCTCCTGCCAAGTTCTTAAACTTGTGGGGTTTTACACAACGCTGAAATCATTAAATACGTAACCATAAGATATTGACCGAAATCCCGCTTATGTTTTTCCTCCAACAAACCGAAACCTCTGTGATGTCAGGCAAAATGAAATTCTTTATGGTTGGAATAAGAATATGTCTTGAAGATATCGCGGCCAAAATTCTGCGAAAGCGATTGTATATAATGTGCATTTTTTTATCCTGTTTTCAATTAATTTCAACCTCTGATTCCAGAACGAGACTCTCTTCAAATACGATTTTTTAAAGTCATTTCACCCCAAGCAAGGCAATAAAGCCACTAACAGTTATCGAGTGTTAGAGAATATGAGAAAAACATTATTAAGGATAGAGGACAATAAAAGAACAAGAAAGAACAAGAATTAAGAAGATAGAAGATAATGATTGATATCGCATTTAAATTTTTGAAGATCAAAGTTAACTGCAAACCAAAAAGCCGGAAGAAAGTTCCACAAGCGAGAAGTGGCATGGAAGAAACTGTTAGCATAGAACTTACGGTTTCATAGGTCTTTAGTCATAATGTTTAGGCGAAATCAATCATTGCAATCACAGTAAATGATAAGTGACTAAATCATTTGGGATATCTGAATGGATTTAAGACAGATAAAATAAATCGGATAATTAAAGAATTGATGAAAAAAAACATGAAAATATTGGGAAATAAGAAAAAACGAAAGAAGAAAAGTGAAAGGAACGGAAAAACAAGAGGAGAAGGAAAAAATAGAAAGAGAAGAGATTAAAAGGAAAAGAGAAAAGGCGACGAAGAGAAGGAGATAGACGAGGGAGGAAAGGAGAGAAATGGAGTGAGAGGAGTGAGATGAGCATTAGAAAAGGAAGAACGGTAATATAAGAGGAGAGACAAGGTAGGAAAGAGGGGAAACTGGAAAGGAAAGAGAAGAAGCCCAGAAGAAAAGAGAAAGGCGATGAAGGGAAGGAGAGCAATAAGGGAGAAAAGAGGAGGAACTGAAAAGAGTAAAACTGGTAGGAGCGAGACGAGAAGAGGAGAGATGGGAATATGAGAGGAGAGAATAACGGAGGGGAGAGGAGAAAGAACAGAGTAAGAGTGCAGTAGAAGCAGGGAAGAGAAGTAGAGAGACGACAAATAAAAGAAAAGAGACTATAAAGACAAGAGGAGAGAGTAAAAAGAGAAGTAGAAAGACGTAAAAAAGAATGTGAGAAATGTGGATGAGAAGAATGTAGCGAGTTAAGCATGTGAAAACGAAGAAATAAACGATCTTCAAACACGGTTCTACAAATTTAAATAAATTTTATTATTGAGTACTTGTTTTTTTTTTCAAATTAAAAGAAACAAATTACAAAGATCCGTACAAAACAAACTCACACAAAAATATTTGGTTTTTCTTTCTTTCTAATACAACCGAATCAATTGTGTTAATATGATAGAAGAAGCAGAATGTTCTATATAAAGAGAGTGTCTCGTATTTACGTTGTTTTATGAATGCGTGAAATTTTCTAGTAGGCAGCAGTAAGGAATCAGTGAACGATAGCTGTCATTTTGTCTTTTGATACTTTGTCTTTCGACACTGAGTTGGTAACAAATTTTTGAAGATCAAAATTGAACGGAAAGGGAGAGATGCGATAAGAGCGAGAGAAGAAACTGGTAGCATAGAACTTACGGCTATATCTCGCCATTTCAACTGTAAAATGATAATACCTAATCGCCAATCTAGTAATGTGCCTAAATTAAAGTCTAGGTACCACAGAGGAAAGTTCGACAGGGCAATTACAATGAAGATATTTATAGAAAAGGCACAGGGAAGCTAACTTATAGTGGTAGGAAAGTGACTAAATCCGAGATGCCAGTTCAGGACCAATAACATTGCAGATTCTTTATATTTTATCAAGAATCTTTAAATAGATTAAATATAAGAGATAAGGAGAGAGAGAGAGAGAGAGAGAGAGGGAGAGAGAGAGAGAGAGAGAGAGAGAGAGAGAGGAATGAGAAGATGAAAGGAAAATTAAAAAGAAATTATGAAAGAATAGATGCTCTTGTTCAGATATTCTTACAATAAACCGAACCAGTTTTTTGTCTTACGTTGCATATTGAAGGATGAAGAACTGAACTTTAAGAAAAGTCACCAAAATCGAAAAAAAATGTAGAGAAAACTCATTGAACTTTGATTGGAATTTTTTTTATATTTAGTCTTCGTATTTATCTTTTGATATTGTAAGACAGGGTCAGAAGGTTTATTTTGTTAGTTGTTTGTATATACGTATTTGTATTTTAAAAGCACTTTTGCTTTTGCTTTGCTTTTCGCTTTGTTGATTATTAGCGGAGGCTTCCAAATATTTTAGGAAAATGAGAAAAGAAAAGAAACAAAATTGACATAGCATGAGAAAAACGAAAAGGAAGGCGAAGGTATAACCAATGACAAATAAAGAAAGGAGAAGAAGAAAATGAGGAAAGAATGAAGGAGAGAAGAAAGAGAAGAAAAAAAAAAGGAATAACTTTAACTTAAAAGAATAACTAATTAATACAAATTTATAAAAGCAAACAAGAAAGAAAGATAAAAATCATTATTATCATTTAAATTGTCCCGGCGTCATGAGAAGAACGAATAAATAGATGAATGAATAAAAGATTGAAAAAAAAAAGAAGAAGGAATGCTTTCAGAATTATAAAGAATGAAATAATCAAAGACAAGAAAGAAAACATTGAAGATGTGAAAGAAATAAAGAAAGAAATATATGATAGAAAGCCGAAAGTATGGAAGAGATGAATGAAAGAGAGGAAGAAAGAATGAAAAAAAAAGAATGAATGAATAAAACGAAGGATGGAAAATGTGAAAGAAAGAAAAAGAAGCATGGAAAATATGAATGAAAGAAGGAAAGAAAGCACGAAGAAAGAAAGCCTGAAGACATGGAAGGAAAATAATAGGTGAAAGATTTGAAAGAAAGAAAGAACGAAAGGAAGGAAAGCATGGAAAATGTGAAAGAAAGAAAGCGAAAGAAAAGTATGAAAAAAGGGAATGAAAGATTGAAAGAAAGAATGAAGATCTGAAGGAAAGAAAACATGAACGAAGTGAAAGAAAGAAATATATGTCAGAAAGCAGGAAGTATGGAAAGGGTGAGTGAAAGAGAAGCAGGAAGAAAGAAAGAAAGAAAGAATGAATTAAATGATGGCTGGAATATCTTGAAAGAAAGAAAGGAAATGGGGAAAAGCATGAAGAAAGAAAGAAAGAAAGAAAGAAAGACATCTTGATGATGCGAAAGAAAGGAAAGAGAAAAGCATGAAGAAAGAAAGAAAGAAAGAAAGAAAGACATCTTGATGATGCGAAAGAAAGGAAAGGGAAAAGCACGAAGAAAGAAAGAAAGAAAGAAAGAAAGAAAGAAAGACTATTTGATGATGTGAAAGAAAGGAAAAATGTAAATCAGAAAGAAAGAAAGAAAAAAGAAAGAAAGACATGAAGCGAAAGAAAGGAAAAGGAAAAGGATGAATAAATAAATAAAGAAAGCTTGATGATGCGAAAGAAAAAAAAGGAAAAAGCATGAAAAAAGAAAGAAAGAAAGACATCTTGATGATGCGAAAGAAAGGAAATGTGTAAAAGCATGAAGAAAGAAAGAAAGACATCTGATGCGAAAGAAAGGAAAGGGAAAAGCATGAAGAAAGAAAGAAAGAAAGAAAGAAAGAAAGAAAGAAAAAAGAAAGACATGAAGCAAAAGAAAGGAAAAGGAAAAGCATGAATAAATAAAGAAAGAAAGCTTGATGATGCGAAAGAAAAAAGGAAAAAGCATGAAAAAAGAAAGAAAAAAGAAAGAAAGAAAGAAAAAGAAAGAAAGAAAGACAGCTTGATGATGTGAAAGAAAGATGATTGATGGTAGACGTAAAGGAAAAAAAAGAAAGACGGTGTGAGCGAGGTGAAAGATAAAAGAAAGGAAAAATACATGGAAGATGTGACAGAAAAGAGAAAGTATGGAGGAGTTGAATGAAAGAGAATTAATATCTAATGAAAGTATATTTTGTAGAAAAGAAACAAGAAAAGGAAGGCAAAAAGCGGAAGAATCGAATTTCGTTGAGAAGAAGGCAGAAAAAGAAAAGAAGAGGAGAAGGATGAGAGAAAGAAAGGTGACTTTTTTTAGGAGGAAAGAGAGATAGAGATATTGAAAGGATATGAAGGAAATCCGAAGGCTGCTGAAAACTTCTTCGTCCAACGACCAAAATCTGCTCAAATGACAAAACATATATTGGGAAAGGCTTCATGTTCGGCCCAAGAGCTTTTCAGCACCCGCTTCATAAAAGAGAAAAGCAATAAGAGAGGTTGAAGGAGGAAAGTGAAAGAGGTTGAGAAAGATAAGATGAAAGGAAAAGCACAAAAGAATAAAGAGAGGCAAGAAAAGATATAAATATATATATATATATATATATATATATATATATATATATATATATAGAGAGAGAGAGAGAGAGAAAGAGAGAGAGAGAATGAAAGAGAAATTGGAAAAGAAAGAGAAAGATAAGAGAGAGGTTGCTTTGTCGTGAGATGTTATTTCTGTAAAGAAAAGACGATATAAGAAAAGAAAGGAAGACAAAAATTAAGAGGAGAGAAAAAAAGAAAACATAGATCGATAATTGGCACTTAAGGATAAGCTTTTTTTTCTCGAAAATCGATAATGATAATAAAATACAAATCTTATTAATTCCGTCTCATCAGTTTTTATTGAATTCATAAATTATTTGTTAAAGGGAAAGTTAGTTTTTTGTCTTTTAACGTCTCCAATTTAAAAAATCAATTCTGACCGTTTCTCATCACTCATTTGTAAAATATTTCTATGTTAGACATTTTCTATAGTATTATTTAACTAGCAGTATAGCCCATCTTTCACCGGGTCTTTCATTACTGGGGATTTTTAACGTTCATTTGGAGCAGTTTAAGTTTGAAGTCAGCCCACCCAAAAATCAATATTAGTAACAACATTTGGGGGCAACTGAGACACATCCCCAAAAGGAGGTTTAACAATTTGAATGGTGGGGGTGGGGGGCTGGAAAGGGCCGTTTTTGTGTTCTTAATCTTGTTTCAGCCTCATGCACAGCAGCAGTTGAAGAGGCGTTTCTCCTGAGCCGCTGAGTCCTTTGATCAGCAGTTTCAGCCTCGCGCACAGAAGCGTTCAGGTATGCTCTTCTGGAAAGCCGATGGCTACGTTGATCTTCGGACTCAGTGGCTCTGATTGAAGCATTCCGAAAGGAATTTTAAGCCAGGCAAACTGAACGTTCTAAAGACGACTCGATATCTGTTATTTGCATGGCGAACCGGGCGGCAGCAGTTTTGCGCCCTAGGCAAGTTCTTTCTTTTGGTGGTATGTCTTAGGCAAGTATGAATTGTCGAATTGAATGCCTGGGCAAATACTAAAAGAGAACGCTGTAAAGCTAGAGAGATCACTAAGCTCGAATAAATTTAGGAAAGGTTGGAAAATAAATGCTGAGTAATAAAAATGCAAGCTTACTTATTACTACGGTGAATGCAATGCAAAAACTGACAGGACAATAAAAAAATTTAAATTGGGAACGGTTATAAATGACAATGAAAGCAAGACCTTAAAACTGTAGTAATAGGCTTTATGCAACGGAAAAAAGTAACCTCATTTGAGAGAGATTGAAATTTTGGCCAAGAGCAGGGGAATGTGTAAGCAGGGCTGGACGTACAGAAGTAGAAGCGGAATTGCAGAATTAAACGGTAGCAATGAGCTTAGGACTGCGGAGACAATCAGTATGACAATGCGACATCTGATTGGGGCTGTAAAGGGGTTTCGTGCAGCCAATGGGCAACTCGAACAGGTGTTGCGTTCCGCAGGTCATGCGTATGCGCATGTGTCAGCGAGTGTGTCAGCGCGTGACACATCGCGTGACGTAACTTTTGACATTTTTTTTTTTTTTTACAAGAGTCAGGATACAATAAAATGGAATATTGCCACCATATTGAGGCTGGAGTTTCCCAGCCAACAATTTCCAAACTTTATAGAGTCGCGGTCTTGTAGATGATGATTTTTAACTCTCTCCAGTCAGTTTCTATCAGAATTAATAGGCCAATCTATCGCTGTTTCAACGGCAAGGGTTCAAATGAGTTTCACTCTTTAGTTCCATCAGTTCAGACCTTTAGATTTAGGACTTGCCATGCTATGTGCACGCAGCCGAATCACCCATAGTTCCTTCCTATTCCATTTGTAATGAGGAAGTTCAGCTCAGGCATCCTTTTCCCGAGAGCTGTGACTCAACACTACAATCTTAACCTCTTCAAGTCAAATCCTTCATGTCGTCATAATCTTCACTTCCTTCTAACTCCACCTATTACATTCAGTAACCCTCTACCATGAGTGGCGCTTGAACATTGCATTTCGCGAACCATTAGTATAAAAAATCTAGAATGGACATCAGTTACACTTCTATGGGGAGGAAGACCTCCCAAACGCGCTTGGTCAGCTTGACGAGAAGAAAAAAACCGATCAGAAAACATACGGCCGAGGAACTTTATTAGCACCGCCTTACTAAATGGGCTATGCAAGTAAAGCCATCACCAAACCCCACCCTTAAAAAAATCTCTCTGCACAGGCAAAAGGGGGTTTTCTGTTTGGTTTGGATTATTTCGTTTTACGGCATATCAACACCTCAATAGGTTATTTAATACCGACAAGATTTTGAGGGTATGTTCAAATGAATAGAATATGTATTCTTTGTAAAAAATCAGTTTTTAGATCCGGTCTCTTTGTCGTATTTTTGTAAAAAGGTTTTTTTTTTTAACGAAAGTCTGGTTTTATTGTTTGTTTAGCGGCATGTAAAATCCTTGTGGGCCATTTAAGGCCGAAATTTGGTTTTCTTGGGAGCATTAGTATTTTCTTTTGCAAAAATATATTGTTGGTGGTATTTTATTTTCAAAAATCTATTTCTGGTGTTTATACTATAAAAATTTATTTTTATACTTTCATAGTGTTTTGACCCCAGTTAAAAGGGTTAACTATTTACCCAATAGTGGGACCCTAACTGGTGCTACCACCACGGGTCAGTGGAACAGCAATTAAGAGGTGATTCCACGCTCCTCAAAACAATAAGTGGCCTTGCTGCCGGATATAGTTAATCGTCATACCCAGAACGGAGGGTTTTTCTGTTTAGAACCAACAATGAAGAGGCATTTGTTTAAAACTCTGGCTGAAGGAATTTGTGTTTATTGTGTGGGTCATCCCTTGTTACTGTTCGGTTCGAAACAGAGAGGGAATCTTCTTACAAATCTTCGTCCGCGAAGCCTTCGTCATGAAGACGGCATCGAAAGTTTTTCTTCATTTCCTAACTTGTTGAAATAGCAAAGTATATTCTATCAGGTTGTCGCCCCATCCTAGGTAAAAGCCGAGTTTCAAATCCACCTAAGGTCTCGGGTCAGACAGTTATGTGCCATGCGTGATACACGCTTAGGCGATCATCTATCTTTCGTTACATGACTGACGAGGTAGATTTTTTTTCTCGCAGTAGGTTGCCATTTCTTTCTATGGTAAGACCAGTTGCCATCCATGGCTGTAAAATCCGATCTGTCCTGCTATTTACCCATAGGTAGAGGGAGAAGAAGAGGATTCATACCTTTACCAAGGGTATTAGCAGGTAAGTGAATTTAATGGATTCGCCTGGACGAGTCCAAATTTTGTTTTATTTCTGATTCACATATGATGAAAAGTTTTAAGCTAATAATGTAAATATGTATGATTGACCTACATCGTATATTTGTAGTTGGTTACCTTCATACATTATTTAGTTTTTAGGATTTATGCATTTTGATCAAGTGAAATGTAGTAATAAAGGTTCCTTTGGTAATGCGTCTTTCTTTAGTGTAAAAGAAACATATTTTGCTTCAACTTGCAGTATTAAAGCCCGTGAAATATCGGAAAATAAGAAAAAAAAGAAACGAAAAAAAGTAGTGTTCGAATGAAAGTCGAATTGAAAAAGTTCTTTCTTAATGTTATCAGCTCTCTAGTGATTTTCCTTTGATGTTTGGTAGTAGCTTTTTCCCTGGCACCGTGAGAGGGTGTTAGCGGGATGGTGTGGTTGCTGATTTATGAAGTGTTCTGGGTAGCTCTGTATTTAACTATTCCGTCAAGTGTCCTTTTGAAAGATCAGCCTCCTGGGTTGGGTAGATGTATTTCTTTCATTTCTTGCTGTGAGTAATATTTTGGTTTTGATTAATGTTGTTTTAATTACCGTCACAATTAAAAAAGATATTTTAAAGGCCTCCGACACTTAAATGTAGACCTTATAGCAACAGTGACCAATGTTCTAATCATTGAACTACATACTAAGCACACAGCAATACAAATGGCGGGATAATTTTCCGTAAAGAAAATCTCATTGTTTTTTGCAGCTTGTCCGGATATTACGGACATTACTTAACTTCATTTCTCTTGCATTGTAGAGATAATCTCTTTTAATGCCATTGTCTAAATCCTTTAGCTTTGTTAAGTATTACCCATATTTTTTCGGTACAAGCTAATTTTCTTTCTTTCTTTCTTTCTTTCTTTCTTTCTTTCTTTCTTTCTTTCTTTCTTAGTCTGTATATTATTTATCTATTATCTATGTATAATTGTGTATTTGGGCAGCAATCCCGCTTTTATACAAGTTTCATTAAAAATGGCTGAATCTAATCTACTTTTTGTATGAATGATTCATTGTAATATATATATATATATATATATATATATATATATTTGTCTCTCTCTCTCTATATATATATATTTGTCTATATATATATATGTCTATATATGTCATATATATCTATATATATATATATATATATATATATATATATATACAGGATGCAATGGGAAAATTGTCGCCATTTTACATTTTTAATTTCATTTGTTTTTGATTTTGTCAACTGCACAGTATAGTAGAACCAGTTCGGCCCCCCCTCTGAGGGATAAAGATGTCCATGACGCAATTCACTTTGCCAGAAATTTGGAAACGGCATGCTGTACTGCTTGGCATTCGGGCTAAAATCTCCAATACGAACGTTTCAGAGTGTTTGGGGTGTCAATCTGGGGACAGTTCAGAGGATTTGGAAAGAGTTAGATGAGTCTAATGGTGATTACGAAGGTATGGCAGCTTGGAAAACTCATTCTAATCGTTCTGATAAAAGAACTCCCGAATTTGTTGGTGAGGATCTAAGACTCAACATGGAGGATGTAGACCGTGGATCAAGAGGGTGGCTGCTGGAAGACCCTATGTCTGGCAACAGGAGTTTTCAGCAGGCATCACAAGCGGAAGAACTTAGTCATGGCTGTCAGACAATTTCTGCGACTACATTACCGCTTACATCTGGCCACCTAACTCCCCAGACTGAAGCCCCTTTGATTGTTATGTGTGGGATGCAGTTGAGCAAGATCCCAACAAAACTCCTTGTAACACCAAAGATGAACTGAAGGCAAACCTTATGGCAGTATACACCAACTTAAACAAGGAGATCGCCCAGAAGAGTTGCAGGAGATTTAGAAGTCGTCGTAGTTGAAGCCAATGGCGATTTTATTGAATAAATTTACTCTAGTATTTCAAGATATTTTTATGTAATTTTGGTAAATACATCTGTTAAAATGAGATGTCAGTGTTATTTTCATTTTTGCGTAATTTAGACGACAATTTTATCTATCGCATATTTGAAGGAAATGAATTGGACACCTAAAGTAAAATGGAAAATTATAAACAGGACTAGAACTTGTAAAACTTGGGATGACCCATGCCCTTTGTGCCTCCATGAGAAGCTGCACATTATTAGGTTTCTAAATAATAAAAATCTATTAAACAATAGACTGAGTTAACGGTTTTTTGCCGACATCATCAATTTTTTGCATTGAATAATTAGCATAAAATAAACATACAATAAAATAATTTTTATAATCCATAGCCCTAATAAATAGTTTAAATACCCTACAAAAAAAGATAACCCTTTATGAAGTCGTCAAAAAACAAATGTTACGGCAGTTTTTTTTATATACAAAAAATAAATAAATCTCCATAGACACGTAAACCAGACAAGGCGAAAACATCTTCCGTCTTAAATTTAGACACCCCCCCCATCTTACCCTGACTTGACATCTATACATCTATACAGATACAAATTATTAACACCCAACACCCCTCCCTATTTAAACAATCGCTCTGGCTGTTACCATGGAAATTTTGATTTCAATAATGAATATGCTATTAAAACACGTAAATTTCAGAAATAAGTTATTCCCAAAAAAATTTCGCTTGAAGATGGAACAGAGCTTACTTTAATTCAATTTAATTCAAATAATTATATTGAAGTTTTCGGCTCTTGTTTTGAAACATGAGACCTTTTATGTAGCGCGTTGGAATCATATTTTTAAATAAATAATTATATTTATGCTCTACTTTTGTATCGAGCACTATTTTTAAAAATAATAACAAAAACACTAAAGAACTTTGGATTATTTACCTAACGAGTTTTTCCTATTTTATATATTTCATATATATATATATATATATATATATATATATATATATATATATATATATATATATATTTAACTAACGTAATGTGACGATAGCTCCTACATACTCTTTTTTCCCTCATCCAATTTAGATCCGATCCAAATACTAAACCATGCATGGTATGATCACACAGAATCCCGAAATATCAACTTCTTTTTTTATACATAAAATAAGAACAGACTTATTTATTTTAAGCCAGCCTTCAGTCGATTGGACAAATGAAACACAATCTTCATTTTCATTCTCATTGGACAATAAACGCACTAACCGAAATTAAAACCCCGCAAATCCCCCCTACACACAAACAAATAAACACACACACACACACACACACACACACACACTATATATATA